AGAGAGGAGAGAGCAGTTCCATAAATGGAGCTGTGCTCCCCACAGACACTTACTTCCTGCAGTTTGGCTACTTTTGAGTTTCTGCGTTAACCTCTGTCTGCTGCGTGAAGTAGCCTCTCTGCTGAGGTCTGAGAACTCAGTCTCATTCTTTATGCCCTCACAAGGGGGACTGAGGATGCTCATGTTCCCGGGATGAAGACCACACGCCTCATAGCATCCCCCCAAAGCAGACCCCCCCACCGGCCTCGGCCTTGCTGTTGTTGCTATATGGCTGTAATCTCATTCCATCCACTGCTCCGGGACCCCCTGAGCTCCTGGGGACTGGGTGGGCTCAGCTTTGATGTCTCCCTCCTCACCCAGGAAGCAGTCCTGTCTCTCTCTGTCTGCAGCACTTGGCTTGTCTGGCCCACAGAATCTATGACCCGCCTTGTAATAGAGAAGGCTCTCATTTGACTATTAAATGAGAGCTCAGAGAGGTCAAGGGCTGAAGACAATAAGCTGGGATTCAAACAGTGACCCACGTCCCTTTATCCCAGGACAATGGAGAAAATAGTGACAGGTGGTAGTCTCAGGTCCCCCCCGGGAGTCTTTTCTTTATCTTTGAGGTAGGAACTGGAGGGTTGGTACCATCTCACCCTGGGCCCTGGGGGGTCCCCAGCACACTGAGTGTTTTACAGAGAGGCCCCTGACTTTGCTAGTTTCCTACCAGGGTGGACAGCAGCGTTTGGAAAGCTCCTCAGGATTCAAGTGTCAGGACTGCACCTAGCAGTAGGTGCAGGGGAAGTGTTCTAGGTGCTGGGCCCACAGGAAGTGGGAACTGTTTCTAACACAAAGGATGTGGCTCAAGACCAGGTCTGAGAAATGAAAGTCAAGAAGGGAGAAGAAGTGGGATCCCGAGGTGCCCCGAGGACGAGGAAGTGGCTTTGTTGGCAAAGGTAGGCAGAGCGGCAGCCAAGTGAGGTCTAGGGTGAACGCGGCCGCCATTTCCCTTTGTAGGAGGGATTGCTGCGGGAGGTACCGGAGCCTGGAGAGTGGATGTTTGTGTATGGAGATTCCCAGACGACTCTCAGGGCGTCTTCACAGAGACTACTCCTTAGGAGAAATGTAACTTGCACTATGTCTCATTAATGGCCTCCAGTCAAGTTGACAATTGAAATGGACCTTCACAGCCTCAGAGGGCTGACTTTCAAGGGGTTACTTAGAACCACTGTGGATGGAGGATCATAGCAACCTTGAGAGAGCTTATGCATCATTGGAATAAGGCTTTCTCTATGTTCCTGATAAGTTTATTAGTGATTTTAGCTTATACTCCAGCAGCAGTACTTACAAAAGTTCCTGCATAGAGAACCATAGGCTATCAGTGATGAAGCAGGGTTCAGAGGCCATATACCCCCCTTTACTTTACAGATAGGGAAACGGGATCAAAGTGAGGTTACCCCAACAGTCTCAAGGCTGTCTGTTCAGTGCATGGTAGAGTTGGTATCTTGATTTTTTTTCCCCAGGACTCAGCTCACAGGGACACATCCACCCCACAGGGATTCAATATTTATGTGCTAAGTGGATAGCACATATTTTTCCTTATGCCCCCAGGCCCTGGAAGGCAGGATACTTTTATCTAGTAGACAGGAATGGAGGCTTTGAAAGCCCAGAGGCACTGTGCTTGGGAGGAAGAGATAGTTATGGTGAGAGCAAAGGGCTCTGATTCAGGACACATTGGTAGGGTGGATCTCTGCCTTTGGGGATGGACCAGAAATAAGGGTCATCAATAACTATTGATGGTCAATGTTGTCACCTTGATAGAATCAAGAGTCACCTGGGATATGGGCCTCTGGGCATGGCAGTAGGGGTTATATCTTGGTTAGGATAGCTGAGGTGAGAAGACCCACCTGCTGTGGGCATCACCCTTCCCTGTGGGATGCTATGAATGACTGTATCAGTGGGGGAAGGGGGCTGGGTACCAGCTCGCATTCAGATGCCATGTGACCAGCTGCTTCAGGCTCCTGCCCTTCACTGCTCTGTACCTCTGAGCTGTGAGCCGTAACAAACCCTCCCTCCCTTCAGTTGCTTTCATTAGGGTATTTTATCACAGTGACAGGAAAAGAAATGGAGACAGCACCCTTAGGACTGTGAGGAGGAGCTTCACGGGGCAGGCAGGGGACAGAGACTCGGAAAAAAGTGGGGGCTAGAGCAGACCCTGGAGGGAGGCAGTAACCCCAGCATCAGGAAGAGAGGCGGTGGGCCTCAAGACCTGTGGTATATCACCTCCTTCCCCCCACAAACACACTGTGACAGACTAGGTAGGTTCTATGGATGTTATAAGAGCAGGAGTCTGTGACTCACTTTCCGGGCTCTTCATCTCGGAGACCTACGTGGTTAGAGGCCAGACTCAGTCACTTAGCTTTTGACGCCTCCCCTTCTCAGTTAGACTAGCGCCTGCCTTGCAATGGGTCCAGGCAACCGTGAGCCAGGCGGCCTCAGATAACAGAGTCCTTTAGCCTCCTCTGTCTCCTTGCTGGACCTTTCAGATCTGCCTTTACGTCCCCCGGATTGGAATTCGCTCGTATAAAGAGTTGATTATAATTTACATCAGAGAGCCTACAGCTCCAACTATCTTCTAAACATGTGTCAGTTACAGCTGTTTGGGACTGCGTGTCCACAGGCAGAAGGTGTATGGGAGGAAAAGGCGCTATTGTCTTGGAAGCAGCAGAGAGGCAGTCCGGGTGTGGACTCATGGACTGAACACTGAAAGGGAAAGTTTCCTGGCCCGGGGTAGGTCTCCTCCAGCTGTCCATAAAGCTCCATTAGCAGCTTAAGGCCACCTGGTGTCAAGAACACATTTAGCTTAAACACAAGCCTCTCTGCTCTCTCTCTCTGAGGTCACCCAGCAAAAGCTGGCTATACCCCTGCTTCCTGGGTAGTCTGCAGTTTGCCTTTACAGAGAGGATGTGTGGCCGTTGGGAATGGACTCGGCCACTGTGTTTTGTCTTGGCAGTAACTGGTTAAATTGATGCTCTGTCTGGCTCTGCGCTTTGCTCTCCTTTGGGGTGGGTTAGCTGGAGTCAGCATGGCCCTCACCCACAAGCCCTCTGGCCAGAAGAGGGTATCGGATCCTCTGGAACTAGAGATACAGGTGATTGTGAGCATGTGGGTGCTGGGAACTGAACCCTGGTCCTCTGCAAGAGCATCCAGTGATCTTAACTGCTGAGCAATGGCTTCAGGCCACCAAGCTCTGTCCTAGGAGAAGAAAACGCACCTACAGCCAGAACCAAGGGACCCACTGATTCGTGCTCACTGAATGAATGAAGGAGCCCGTGCCTGGACACTCAGAGGAAGGCGGCAGAAGTTACTGGGGTGAGGCTCCGGCCTCTGAAGTTGACAGAAGGGGTGCTGTACTGGAGCCCTAAGCCTGGAACTCCTTTCCTTCATGGTCATGGGAAGGCCACATACCATCATAAAATGGAAAGGTGCAGTAGCACATCTTTCAGCCTAAACTGTTACTCTGAGTTCAGGGAACTTGAATTTACACGCAAGAGTGAAGGGCCAAACATGATTAAGACACTTTGAAAGGAAAAGTGTGGTGTGGAATTTGTTCTGTGGAGAATAAAACTTATGAAAAAGCTGTTGTAGAGAAGACCAGGGCAATACTGGGCCAAGAATTCAAAGTGGATTAACCGGAGGGATGGGTGCCTGGGAACTGGGAACTAACCATTCGGGCAGTCGGCCTCAGACAGACGTAGAACTGTGAACCACTGGGAAATGCAGGGATTTGCTCTCCAGTTATCCATTTATCAGATCAGAAAAGAACAATCAAATCAAATCCCCACCTTACAGCACATATACAACGTCAATTTAGATACAGAAATGGAGGAAGGAAAACCACAGGAGCATGTCTTCTAATGCTGGGCAAGGGAAACAACCTAAGCAAGATATACCATGCTATTGAACTTGGTGCTAGCATTGCATTGCGGTTCTTGGATAATAAATGGACACAGTTATATAACGGGGGGGGGGGGGGGGGGGATGTGTATAACAAATACAAAACACAGAGGACAAGCATTAAGAATGTCAATAGAGCCCAAAGTTAGACATTCAGTCTGTGATACAATTCCTCTGGGAACACACCTACAGGACAGGAAGCAGGGGTTTGGGTTTTTTTTTTTTTTTTGTGTGTGTGTGTGTGTGTGTGTGTGTGTGTGTGTGTGTGTGTGTGCGCGCGCGCTCTTCTGCCAGTGCCCAGGGCAGTGTTATTCATGAGAACCCAATGGTGAAAACGAGCCTGATGAACGAGCAGGCAGATCGGAGCACGGACACACAACGGTTTATGAGTCGGCCTTCTGGCAGAGGGGCGTTCTGACCCCTGCTCCGACAATGGGTGACCCTTGAAGACACTGCTCTGAGAAGACACGAAGTCACAGGAAGAAACGCTGCGTGAATCTACTTCTAGTGCAGTTCATGGAGAGGAAAACCTGAAAGACCAGTCAAGATGG